TAGAAACACCGGCACTAGTTATGTAACCATTTTGTATGTGAACCATTCCATGAAGCCAGTAAATTACTCGTAAGGTAACTCATTCTTTAAAATTCATAAGGTGATTTTATGATCGCAAGAGCCAATATACATACAAGCATGTTATGTACTAACTGCTTCTCTCTCTCACAGAGTGGGAAAGAGAATGTGTGTGTGCGTGTGTGTGTATGTGTGCGTGCGTGCGCCCGCGCATGCATGCACATGTGTGCATGTGTGTTGGTGCACGTGTGCACATGCGCATGTACACATACATATTCAGGTAAGTGAAACAGACATTTTCAATGAAGTGCTACTAGGACAGAGATTATAGTATGATATTATTAGAAGTTGGGTTAAAAAACATTGTAACCCAACACCATCAGTGTTACTGGATCTTCCCCTTTCATTACACTACACTGGGTGCATCTATAAAAGACACTAACTGCGCAGTAGCCAAACAACACTGCACAGTAGCATGCCAGGCAAAAACTACTACTGCACAGTAGTATTAGGCTACCACGTAATAAGCGTCACTAAAAACCCATGTACTGGCACTACTGCGGGGTAGTGCAAGCTACTGCACATTGATTTAATACTTGGTTAACCAAGGACTAAATTTAATGCGCTGTAGCTACACAACATTAATAAACATGTAGACATACCCACTGTCTCCTAAATATAGTCAAAGAGTAGCTAAATATTTTTTCTTGTCAATAAGATATAGTTATAGCCCAATGAAGACAGAATGCTGAACTACCAAATATGCAGTGGCCTTGAACTTAGTATATAACATGTCAGTTTTGAGACACATTCAAGCTGACGATAAATCACTATCACAGTTCTACAACATGAAAAAAAAATACATCTTAGAGGATTTTTTGTGCAAAAGTAAGTTCTATTTCTGATTTAGTTATTCTCTGATAATGTCCGTAACAAACTAGACAGTATTTCTGTTGAAATGCACAGGCATTATGGTATTAGACTCATCGTTTCTAACTTCTATTTTAACCGTGTTAATTTTTTTTCTATTAAATAGATTGTATCTTCAAATACCATCCACATTAAAATACTTTAGTAACAATTGTATTATGGATTATGATTACTTCCCAAATTTGCATGAGCATATACTGTACAAAGCCTCCAAGGCATCTTCTTTTCGTGCATCCTATAGGAGAACAATACTTATGGAGAATGTGAAGCAGCAGAGATTAAGTTGCAATAGGTCAGAAATGCTTCAATAGTTTGTGAAAGCTTTTCTTTGACACAGAGCTGTCACACTGCCATAAAAACACTTTGTTAAGAAGTTTGTAAAAAGACCACCAACTTCCTAGGGTGCACAATATTTTAGCATTTTTTCAATGTACCCTTTTGAACTTATTTCAGTTTTCTGTTTTTGATGATAGCTATGCTGACAACTTTTTTTGGTCCATCAAACTCTGTAGTACAATTACATGAATTTACTTTTAATAAATTACCATCTTTGCATATATCAGTCAAACCACAAAGACTAAACACTTGCAAACAAAATGCATTATTAATTTAATTGTCACAGCCTATTTAGCTAACTTCTATTAGTCTTTGCTATAATATGCAGAGCATCAGAGGGCAGAATCAAATTCAAAACATAAAGAATAAACTGATTATATTGTCCTAGAGAAATTAAAATGTAGCAAGCTTGCAAAATTATAGTCAAGGCATTAATGTTTTAAATAGGTAAGAAAACTATGTAATTTAATTTAGAGTACAGTTATGCACAAAGTGATGGTTCAACATGCTGATGAAGAATTTCTTTGGTTCCTAAAGCCATTAAAAGACATCAAGCTCCCCCTGCAAAGTACCAAAAAAGTCAAAAGAAAAAAAGAGAAATGTTTCGACATTTATTGTACTAGACTACAGTGCTTAAATCTTAGCCATCACCAGCAAGGGACTGCTACTGGGATATTATATTGCTGTTGTGGTCCTGCCACTACTACTCAATGTTGCTGTAGATTAAGAGGAAGTGCCAGATAAAAAAGGTATTGTGGACAAGAAATATTCAAAGACAGAATAAGGGACTGCCAAAGAAGAGAGGATAAGTCACTCAAAAATCACTTGTTTATGCTGGCCTGGGGGTTATAGCTGCAGCATAGTACACTACCAGCTGGGACACAGGGGTTACTGTCCTGAGCTTGGTTCTTTGCTCTCAGGGCAGCAAGGGCTTGGAGTGCTGTGAAAGCAGCTCGCTAAGCCTGTGACGGGTGGGAACACATCACATCATTCTCTTACAACCCTGAACTGGCTGATGATTCAAAAAGCCTTTGAGGAATGCAGGAAGAGATTGGGGGGGGTAAAGGCAGCGAGGAACCAGAAGCATCTAGGAGGACTTCAGGAGGAAAAAAACCAGACACTGGTTTAGATTATAGCAGCTATTTGCTTTAAGAATTCATTTGAGATGTTGATCACTAAAATATGCCCCTCAGGCTCAAACAGTATATTTGGGTATCTGTTATGTGGATACTTTATTGAACATATACTCATAAGGGTAAAGTAAGTTATTTCTATGGAGTATTTATGATGATTATATAGTAAGTGCACCTTAAAGAAGGATGTATTTGTAAAGAGTGATTTTGTTGAAACTATAAACCATGAGAACAAAGTACTTTTCACAATTATATCATAACACCCAAAAAAGACAATCAATATAAACATTAATTATAAACATTACATATATACATGTATTCCTGAAACATACATGCATACATGTATGTGTATGTATATGTGTATGTTCCTGAACATGCTGTTTATACTGATTGTTTATATATAAATGTACATGCAATGGTATCTTCTGGTTTTTTAAAATTCCAGATAAAACAGGAAATCTGAACATTCTTGAAGTAATTGCACTGTAACTAATTTCTGCTTAACTAATTAGTGCAGGAAACTTTGTAAAAGGCTTAAATACCTGAAGGGACAAAACCATAAAATATGTATATTTTTATACATACAACACATGTGCATGCTAAAAAATAATCTGTTAATTTTGTACTCTACAGTAAGGTTACCTGAAAAGTAAAGTATGGTGAATTCATGGGGGGGCAGAAAAAAAAAAGACCTGATCCACTTTCATTTCTAAAGTTATTATGCAGGATTTGAACAAAAACTGAAATGTGAAATTTTGTACTGTCCTAGGGATTTTATAGCTATCTTTTATTTTCCTCCTTTTAAAGAGGAAATCTTTCACTTGTATCTTAAAGGTTTGAATGCTTTTTGTTTTAAAATGTTCATGTTCAAAAGAACAAAGTACAAAAGTAATGCCTTAAGAAAGAGCTTGGCATAAGTTGTGCAACCCCGACAAACATTAACAACTTCAATATTCTAATAAGAAAATGAGGTTTTTTAGTGTTTTAGAAAAACAGACATGGGAGACTACGTACAGTAGAAATAAATCAAAATGGCAACTGCAAGGCCTGTGTTAAAGACGACACCATTCCTTAATTAAAGTATGTCACAGGATAAACTTCATAACAAAAACCAGATACCTAGGGTATTATAAAATGCAAAAATTTCCTGAATTTAGGCATCTCATCATTGACCAAGATTCGTCTATGATCCTTCCAAAATGTGTATCTACTCACAGAGTATATTTTTTTCTCACTGGCTTAAAAAATAAATACATTTGTATTACATAGCTGTAAATAATATTTAAAAAAATATATTAAAAAACTATTTAGAATTTATCATCCACTAAAACTTGGAATAACAACTAAAATATTGTTTGGTATGTTCACTGCTTAAGAAAGGTAACTATATGATTTCCTGCCTCTAAGTCGTGCCTTGTGTTGTGTCAGGGCAGATGGTAATTTCATGAAGAGGTTAGACAATGGATTTGTATAGGCTGGTTTGGATAGGGATAATCCTGCCTCAGGCAGGGGATTGGACTAGATGACCTCTGCAGGTCCCTCCCAGCCATACCTCTCTATGATTTCCCCATTCTTTTTATGATTTACCACCCTGGTGTCAAAACTAACTTTTTCATTTCACGCCATAAATAAATGAAATATCTAGAACGCAAAAAGCCTCATAACTGAAATATTATATTGATGACAACTATTTGCATTCTGGATCCAAGCCGGTAAATATTAGAAGTTATTTAATTGGATGATTTCAGAGGTAAACTTCCTTGTTACTTAAAAAGCTACTAAAATGCACAAGTGGGATTAGCTATGATGCAAAACAGGTTTATAAATAAGTAGCAAATCCTTCATGCAATGACCCAGTAATGCAGTATAGTCCTGGCTACATTTTAAAAAATAAAGCACTGTATGACAGTTAAAACAGAGAAAATATATTTGTTTAAAAAAAATCAACTTCAATAGACCATCCAAAAAGAACACATGGACCAAATTCCTCTTCTCGCTTTTCAGCATTCTGAGGAAATCAAGGAGATCTGCAGTTTAGATCAACAGTCATCTCGTGGTTTTGACTTTAGGAAATGAAAAAACAGGTTTTTGGTTTACAATATGTAAAATATTTCTGAAATGTAAGAGCACTAAATCCAAAAGCAAAACCCAGGATGTTTTGTTTCAGTCTTGGATTGCCTGGGCCTAGCTCTAATATCATTATAAATGCAATTGGAACATCTCACCCAATCATAGCCAATGCCAATTTAATAAGGCCATAAGGCAAAGCAGTTAAGTACGTCTGCTCTCACTGAAGTCAGTAAGACTTAACAACCTCTAAGGTTAAGCATTCACTTAACTGCTTTACTGAATATGGGTCAGACAGCCCAAGTCTATATTCTTTATACATGCAGAAGTCCTTGTAATTTTCAGTGGGAAGTGTGGGTGGGACAGGAATTCATGGTAAGTCCTTCTATAGGCATGTTGTGTGTTTGTGTCCATGTGCGTTAGTGCTACTACAATTCAAATTCAAGAAAATACATTTAAAAAATATTTTTGTATTTACCAACATATTTTATAAAATAGAAATAAAGTGTATTTTACCTTTCTTTTGGTGTACCAACGCCATGCTTGCCCAGTAAGTGAGTATTTAGGTGTTTCTTCATCACAAATGCCACCCTAAAAAAAAAAAAAGAGTTGAATTTTGATGGGCTTTTACCAAAACAAAATGGGTGTTTTTCTTTTCTTAAGCATGCACTTTCAGCACATTTTATTACAACACAAATTCAACAAAGGAAACCTTAAGTTTAGATAACCTCCTTTGAATGTTATGGTGTATCATGTGATGACAGATATTGACTTACAGAAACTTCTGTTTTTTCTTAGACAGAAACAGATTAAAATAATCAGAAAAACAAATCAACTATTTAAAACATTCTGTACCATTCTGAAAACTAAATTTTATTTTGTTGGGCTAATTACAGTTCAGTCTTCAATTATTTAATTTTAAAGAGCCCCATCCTACACACCTTTTTCACATGAGCAGTACCACTGACTTCAATAAAAATGCAGCATGAACAAGTACAATGGGATCATGCCCTTCTAATCAGTATTTGTGTCTGGTCAATCTTTAATGTATTAATTATTTAAAAAGCTTCACAGGCAAAATTAAGAACCCTTGTAGTGCTACAATATCTTTTTGTGAAGGGGTGGGGAGCAGGGGGGGGCCAGAACATGGAGCAGATGTTTGTGATTATACTGTAAACAGGAATTTGGTTCAAACTGGCACCAAGGCATCAATAACAACAACAACAACAACATATATTACCTGGCATTATGCCTCCTACAAAACAAAAACCAGTTCATTTAATTTAATTTTGATGACATATGTAATGAAATAGATAGAAGCCTATCGAGTACCATTCCTCCACTGATAACACCGTAACATCAATTTAATTATATCATGTGACTGCTTCAAACAATTTAGATATCAGACTCAAGCTTCAAACTAAAATGGTTCTCTTGATAAGCAAAAATTTTACTGCTGTAACTTTCAGTGTGAAAAGGGCTTGCAAACATTTTTGTTAATTATGTATTACAGCTGTCCTTCATAAAGTTAATTACTAATAGCTGAAAGGCAATAGAATCTATTTGCATATGTACATGAAAGGCATGGCATATGCAAAATATGATTTTAATTAGCATTCTATGATATGAAGGGCTACAAATCAAACTGGCATGTTATAAGATTTTTAACATTAAACGCTGAATTCATCTGGACATGTTTGCACTAATGGACAATGCAATGACTGTAAAACACTGTAGCATTATGGCATATATGAGCCACAAAAGCCAAGAAAGAGTACTTTTCCTTTACAAATATGTTAATGTATCTTCTCCATGTCTGATCTACTTTGGGCACTTTCATATTATTAGAGAGAATCTCTCTTTTGTGCAGCCTTCAGGGTGTAAGAATATAATTCTGTCTTTTTAAAATGATAGTGATTTCATTATTTTTATAAAAAGACATTAAAATACCTTCGATTCTCTTTTTTTTTCCATGTGGGATTAATGTGTGGCCCCACAATCTTTAGAAACTTGAATAATCTATCACCCTATCATCATTACTGTGAAAATATGATCAGAATCACTGTACATAAGAAAAATAATTGTAATGACAAAATTCTGTGTTCTAATAACAGTACAAGGCATTCCAAATTTACTGATGTTGCTTTTGGGCAGAAAACAGAGACATTTCTAAGCTGCTGTAAGTGTACTTAATACATTTTAAATGAATAATACTATGATAATACTCCATTCTCCCCTTTTCTGAAATAAAATATAATCTAAGAACCAAATATGAAGAGCTACAAAATAAGCAAAGTTTCAGAGGCACAGCTTATTATTTCTGTGGCAAAGAATACCGAATGCAAAACTCTCAATCAGTTATTCAGTATTTCCTAGGAAACTTTTTTCATAGAGTCAGGGTACATTAAACGGCCTTGCGGATAACAAAGTTATTCATTTACGTATTTCTACAATGGACACAATAGGGAAACTGCTGAATGTGAGAAGCAAACAGGCAAGGAAGAAGAAAAGGCACTGTATGTAACACTGTATAACAACTGATCTCATGTTAACAGCTGAATGTCTGCAGTACCCTCAGGTATGAGTAACCATTTTGCTGCCTTTCCACAGCATAAAGAAAATGGTGCAAAAAAGATTAAATCTGCTGCAACATACTGTATAAAGGTTCAGGACCCACGTTCATGTAACTTGTAAATGTAATGAATTAAGGGGCTGATACTGAAGTACACTGAGTACTTCCTGAGAGAGTGAAGTACCTTAGTGGATGCTAAGAGTACTCTGATAGTCTTTCAGGAAGTAGTCAGCATTTTGCAGAATCAGGCCTTACATGAGAATGTTGCCATTTTCATAAGAAATGTAATATATGGCACAAAACACATTACAGCATATGGTAAACATAGATAGCACTTACTTTGGGAAAAGGATTATTTTTCTAGAACTCAGGCAAAGCCTCAACTTCTTGACTTGGAAGCTAAATTTGATCATAACTCATTTAAAAAAGCAGGTATGTTTGCCTTTATTTACCAAATACTGGAGGGGATTTCGCAAGCGCGTGCATGCGTGCGTGGTACAAGCTGTCTCAAACACCTGTAAATGAGGGATTAGCAAGCATTATGGTTGTAGCAAAATATTATTTTCACCCTGCCAGCAATTTGCCCCAATAGCCATTGTTTTTGAATATTTCGTCTTGAGAATGAGTGAGGATGGGATAAATAACATAACTTAGCTGTGTTCTTTTAAAAAAACATCTTCAGTAATACTGACTGACATCAATGGGATCCATTCAAGTCTATCATTAAAAGATCCATCATTAAAAGAGGATTGTTGCTTTTACACTCCCCCACTGGGATCCTGCACAGACCCAGGGAAGGTGCAGCCAGGCCCAGGGTTAGCAAGGACCTAGTCTTCTGGTGGGACTGGACGTGTTCAAATCAGCAGGTCCTGACGATCTCCACCCCAGAATGCTGAAGAAATTAGCAGCGTTCATTGCGGGACCCCGGGCATGGCTTTACGAGCACTCATGGTTCTCTGGCAAGGTGCCAGAGGACTGGAAAAGGGCCAATGTGGTTCCTGTTTTCAAAAAAGGGAGGAAGGAAGACCCAGGAACTATAGGCCCATTAGTCTTACCTTGGTCCTGGGAAAGCTCTTTGAGAAAATTATCCAGGTGCACATCCGCGAGGGACCAGCAGGGGAGACTATGCTTAGGTGCAACCAACTTGGGTTCATTAGAGACAGGTCCTGTCAGACCAACCTGGTGGCCTTCTACGACCAGGTCACAAAAGCCTTAGATGTAGGTGTTGCGCTGGACGTAGTCTTTCTGGACTTTTGGAAGGCCTTCGACACCGTCTCTCACTCCATTCTCATCAAAAAATTAGGTGACTGTGGTGTTGATGCCTACAGTCAGATGTGTCGCAAATTTACACCAAATATATCTTTTGTCATTCCCAGTACTTGAGATCCAGGTCAGGATAGAGAGTAGACAAGAGTCTGTTCTCTCATTCTCTCCTCAGGGCAGAAAGTACACGCTAATAGAGCATTTTGCTTGGGGAGATTTTAAGGTATTTTTGTTTCTGGTGGTTGGAATGGTTATTTTTTTAAATAAATCAACATGTTGCTAGTGGGCCTTGGATTTGAAGCAGAAGGCAGTGACGCTTGTGCTGATCATGATTTCCTATGGGAGTTCACTTCAGTTTTGGACTCACTCTGGTGGACGGGTCATATTCGACCTGGAGGGATGCAAGCAGTGGAGTCCCCCAGGACTCGGTTCTTGGGCCCGCACCGTTCAATTTCTTTATTAGCAACTTGGACGAGGGGGTGAAAAGCACCCTGTTTAAATTCACGGATGACACCAAGATTTGGGGTGAGGTGGGCAGGCTAGAAGGAAGGGACAGGATACAGACGAACCTGGACAGGTTACAGGGGTGGGCAAATGAGAATAGGATGGGATTCAGTACTGACAAGTGCAGGGTGCTGCACTTGGGCAGTAAAAAACAGCAGCATACCTATAGGCTGGTGAACTCTCTTCTTGAAAGCACAGTGGCAGAAAGAGATCTTGGAGTCATTATCGATTCCAAGATGAACATGGGCTGCCAATGCGAGGATACGGTCAGTAGGGCTAACCGCACCTTGTTGTGCATCCCCAGATGCATCACAAGCAGGGCTTAGGAGGTGATCCTCCCCCTCTATGCGACACTGGTCAGGCTGCAGTTAGAGTACTGTGTCCAGTTGTGGGCACCGCACTTCAGGAGGGATGTGGACAGCATTGAGAGGGTCCAAAGGAGGGCTACTCACATGATCCGGGGACAGCAGGAGGAAAGGCTATGGGACCTTAACCTGTCCAGCCTTCACAAGAGAAGGCTGAGAGGGGACCTGGTGGCCATCTATAAACTTACAAGGGGGGACCAGCAGGGAATGGGAGAGACCTTGTTCCCCCGAGCGCCTCCTGGAGTAATAAGAAATAATGGCCATAAGTTGTTAGAGAGTAGGTTCAGACTAGACATCAGAAGGCACTTCACAGTCAGGGCGGCTAGGATCTGGAACCAACTTCCAAGGGAAGTAGTGCTGGCTCCTACCCTGGGGGTCTTTAAGAGGAGGCTTGATGATTACTTAGCTGGGGTCATTTGAGCCCAGTTTTCTCTCCTGCCCAGGGCAGGGGGTCGGACTAGAAGATCTGCAAGGTCCCTTCCAACCCTATATCTATGAATCTATCTATGAGAAAGTTTTGCCTCTTCCACAGATAAGTTTTAACCTCCTTATAGAGTGTTCCTCTGTTTACATGTTGAAGACCCTAGATCAAGTTCACATGGGGGTGCAGAGGAGGCAGTGTCATCTAGACTACTGTAATGTTGCACAGTAGGAGACAGGTTACCATTGGTACCCCACTGTGCAACGTTACTGAAGTTTACAATGTTGAGTGTATCATGACATCATCTATTTCTGAGGGGATGATCTGGTGAGCAATCTGAGGATCGAGGGGAAGCTAGGTGACAATGACCATGAACTGATCACTTTCTCTGTCCAACGCAGGGCAGGAAAATCCCTCAGTAAAACAGAAATCCTCAACTTTGGAAAGGCTGACTTTCACAAACTCA